AGATGACCCTTCCTTTTTGGTTGAATAAACTGGGTGAGTGAATGGGGCTGTTTTTTATTTATTTTTTTTTAAGAGATTTTTGTTATAGGATGTGTGCGCTCATCGGAGACAGAAAGCGAGAAATCACTCCCGGGGGATGGCATGCGCCTGGCCTGAGTTTTAAGCTGCCAGGTCCAGGACTCAAACCGTGGTCGACTGTGGGAGTCCAGCGATGTACCCATTATGCCATCTGCTGGTCCTGAATGATACTAGTTACTAAAATAGACAACACTAGACAAGAAGCAGGTTTGGAGAGAAAAAACCAAGTTCTGTTTCAGATACGTTCCCTACTCAATTAGACAGTGAAGTGGAGATGTTGAGTAGGCGACTGCATATACAGCTGGAGCCCAAGGGAGAAGTCAATTGGGGAGTTGTCAGCGTATGTCAGTAGTTGGCATTAAAGCAGTATAGCGTTACAGCGCTGGCAAGAGATGAGGCAAAGAACAGAGTAGACCTTCCTGTTGGCTTACCTACGCCCTGGGATTCCCGGATCTCCTAGTTAGAGGAAGATGAGCCAGCAACAGCCAGAGTTGGAGGAAAACCCAGAGAGTGTTGAGCTGCAGCAAATATTGATGATAAGCAGAGTAAGATGCTCTTTTCCTCCCTTTCTCCATCCGGTCAGGGAGCTGGGCACAGATGCATGTGCTGGTGACATCAGAGGAGGTCAAGGAGCTGAAGGGACCGAGTATTAGATTTACAGAATGCTGAGTAACCAGGTTAGGAGGCGGAAGTGGCGCTGAGTAGGTCAGTAAACTGCAGCCTCATGGCGTCGGGAGGTTAACGTAAAGCATGCAAACGCTTAGCATCGTGCTTGGTGACATAGGGCGTACTCGGGTTATCTGGTATCACTTTTCTTTCTACTCTTATTCTTGGGGGTGTAACAGCAGAAACCATTCTGTAGACATTTAAGTGCTTATTTTACTTATTTTATCAATAACATTTCTAACGTACTTGTGATACAAGAATCGTAAGAGTGGAACTCGAAGGGCCAGCAGATAGTGCAGCAGTTAAATGTTGCACACGGAAAGCCAGATCACCTATGGCTGACCAGGGTTCGAGCCCCAGCCCCTCAGCTTGAAAACCACATTGGGCATTTGCTCACAGCCTGATCCTGACAGGATGGAGGATTGGGGGAAAGGAGGCTGCAGTGTGATCGGACTCCTGTGGTCTCTTTTGTAACTGTGTGACTCTGCTGCTGTAGCAGGAACGTAGCCAAGCAGTACACACACACATTTAGTGGAAAATGTAAAGGAAAATTCACAAAGGCAGGCATTGGGTTACAGTATGCTGCTTCTTGGCTTAATATAGTTTTGTTTTGTTTTGTTTTTAAGATAGTGTTGCTGAATTACTGTGCATAGCACTGCACTTCAGAAGATTTGGTAAATCAAAGTTTATGCTTATTAGGATTATAATCTTGAACTTTCATACTGGACAGTTGACCTTATATTTTAATTAAACCCAGATTATACCTTGTGATCAATAATAATTAAGACAGTATGACATAATACATTTACTAAGCCCAAGAAACTAGAGCTATTTATCATCATAATCATAAAACTTACTATATACAGATTATATAAGTCATTAAAAATAATTTTAGAGGGGTGGCCAGCAGGTGGTATAGTGGTTAAGGTGCTGGACTCCCACATCGGTGACCGTGGTTCAAGTCCCAGACCTGGTGGCTTTCTCACTTACCCTCTCTCTCTCTGGTGAGTACCCATGTCCTATAGCAAATTATAAATAACAAAAATTTAATTATTTTTAAAATTAAATTTAAAAATTAAAAAGAATGATTTCATTTATTATTATTATTTTTAGTCTACAACAAGGCTCATGTGCTGACCAGAGACAAAGTGAGAATGCAAGCCACCAGGTCCAGGACTTGAACCATGGTCAGCCTTGTTGGAGTCCAGCGCCATAACCACCATCCCACCTGCTGGCCCCTACATTTTTTCTTTTTCTTTTTTTTTTTCTTTTTTTTTTTTTTTTTTTTTTTTTTTTTTTTTTTTTTTCATTTTTTCTTTTTTTAAAAAAAATTCCATGGGGCATGTTGCCAGAGAGGCTGGAGAGAGTGAGAAAGTACACCAGGGGTTGCACTCTTCAGTTCCTTCTCCTCCATTCTACTCTTGGGACTTGGGGTATACACACACACCCAGTGTTCTCCAAGCCGCTCTGGGTGTGAGACTCAAACCACAGTACCAGCCATGTGGGATCCAGCTCCTTAACCATCACACCATGGGCAGACTCTAGAGTTAGATTTTCTTATGACTGACAGACATATTATAAATACATAGCTTGGTATTTTCCTCCCCTGCAGTATTGTGTTTTAATTTTAATCTTTCTCTCTCATCCATTTTTAGGGGTCCAGACTAGATGATCAAAGATGTGCTCCACCACCTGCTGCCACAAAGGGTCCAACAGTACCAGATGAAGACTTTTTTAGCCTTATTTTGCGGTCGCAGGCAAAAAGAATGGATGAACAGAGAGTTCTTTTACAAAGAGATGAAAACAGAGACTCTGAACTTGGGCTGAAGGGCCTTTTACAAAGTGATGCTTTGTTGGAATTTAAAAATTCAGGAAAAAAAACATCAAACCACTAGTTACAATGGATGCTTTTAAAGAAAAGACCTCATTTCCTTTCAGAATACTGCAGGGAAATTCAATCTATTAATTTTTCCTTAAAAGGAGAATTTATAGCACTGTAATACAGCTTGAAATATTTTGAGAGTGATGTAAATACCTGACCTTCAGTAGTGTAGTATTAGGGAATTAACACGCCTCTGAACACTGAAGTGTTTCGGGTGGAGGTGTCCTTTAAGGTGCTTCATCAGCTGTGATTACTGCTTCAGATTCTGTTCTTTGGCAACTTGTTAGATTCCTTTACCTAGTTTTACCTAGTGTTTGTAAAGTAGGAAGTTAAATGAATCCCAAACTAGAGTTTAATCCTCTTGCTGAGATAAATTTTTAAATTTTAATTGATGAAGACTTTTTTTATACTTAACCATGGAAATATTAGGAAATTATGCTGTTTAGTAAAAATAATGTACTTGACCAATGTAAGAAAGTCAAACTTGTATTAAAAGTAATTTTTTTCTCTAGAAAAATCTCCATTTTCAATATTTTTTTAGGCCGAAACCAGTATAGAAGAAACTTCTATGAAATAAACTTCTTTTAGCATGTTTTGGGCTATTTATTTTTTTAAATTATGGTTTTAAATAGTCTCTTCCACTGTAATATACAACTCAAAAACAAACTTTATTAAGACCTACTGTTAAAAAACAAACCAACCTGTATTGTGGTGGTTATGAGCAGATCCCAGGCCACGTACATTGAAAACTCACAAAATGAAGGGTGAACCTCAGCTGCCATTAAGCCTTCCTTCCAGAGATGGAAGCAGCCGACGAGGGTAAAGAGGAGATAATGAAGGAACACCGCTGGGCAGGGCCTGTACTGAGGCTGCACCACAGACCACAAACGCACCCACCTGAACACAACTCACTCAGCTCCGAAACTCACACCTGAACAGGCGGGCAACTCACTCAGCTGAAACACACACCTGAACAGGCGGGCAACTCAGCTCTGAAACACACACCTGAACAGGCAGGCAACTCACTCAGCTCTGAAACACACACCTGAACAGGTGGGCAACTCAGCTCTGAAACACACACCTGAACAGCCGGGCAACTCACTCAGCTCTCAAACTCACACCTGAGCAGGCGGCAGCTCAACTCTGATTGCTTCTGATTCTGCACTGGGCGGGGGTGTCCAGTTCTCTATTCGTTCACAAAGACATTCACAGGTGATTTCAGTGGGATACACAGAACCACAACTTTAAACAGCCAAAAGTTAAAAAAAAAAAAAAAAAAACTTACATAGTTACAGTATGGAATCACATTAAAAGCTCAGCCTCCCCCTGCCCCCAAATATTCTTGGTTCAAAGATCAGACAGGAGTTCTGTCAAAAACATTAAGTTAATGGGGACCAGCAGTTAGCGTAATGGCTATGTCGCTGGACTCCCACATAGTCTGACCGCAGTTCAAGTCCTGGACCCGGCGGCTTAAACTTACGCCGGGCACGTGTGCATGCGTGCTCAAGGTTCCAAGAGAAGAATGGAGAAGGGACTGCGGCGTGGCCATCCCCCGGGGGGTGATTTCTCGCTTTCTATCTCTCTGTCTCTGTCGAATGCACGTGCCCTATGGCGAAAACCTCTCAACAAAACAAAACAAAACAAAAAAACACACACACACAAAATACTAAGTTAAAACCCAGAAGTATTTTGGTGAAAGCCCAAACCATGGCCAACTAGTGGCATGATGGTTACAAGGCAGCTGGATCCACGGCACAGTGTGAGTCCTGGCAGTCAGAAAAATGCCACCCAAGGACATGTGCCCCAAATCCAGAAAGGATAATTGGAGAAGAGACTGCACTGTGACTGCCCCCTAGAGGGGAGCTCTCTCTCTCTCTGACGAGCACAGGCACTCTCTGCTCCCCCCACAAAAAACTGGATAACATTGTTTCGCGCGCGTGTGTGTGTGTGTGTGTGTGTGTGTATTCATGATGTCCCAAATAGCACCATTTTTCAAACTGCAAGATAAATATGTTTTTTATAAGAAAATTCAATAAAAAATGCATACCAATCTATAATAATGTAAAAATAGTGTTTATTTTGTGTATACAGTGGCTCTTAGACTCTGTAAACATTCAACATTATCTACTCCACTGAAAAACTTTTAACAGCTGTCTATCCCAGTCTAATTTCCCTAAAGCTTGTCACTGTAAGTTTTCATTTTAATGACAAATACTGGCAAGTCAATAAATGAGCCTTCTCTTTCTGGTAGGCAACTGGCCTCGGTATGTTCAGTGTGCTTTAATAAACTCTTCCCTGAACTGCTTTCACCACTCAACAGCAGTAGCATGTTGCCTTGCTAGCTCTCAAAGCAGATTTCATCCCCAAATGGATATCTGTAATGAGAGAATAGAAAGATACATTTTATTTAGTTTTTTTTTTAAATAAAGGATTCATCTTGGATTGATTTAAAGCAGTCAGGAGTGGAAGAGAGTGGAAGCGGCATTAACGCTCACGGCTACAGTCACCTGTAGCATCCATTTCTCTTCAGAATCAGATCACAGGTCAGAGGTCAACACTCACCTTGGGAGCGTATTCGCAGCAGTTACTGCGAATTCTGAGATCTAGTCCTCAGAGCTGTATTAATGCACCAGTGTTCACAAACGGCTCTAAACGGCAACCATCCTTGCATTCATTCATTTACTACACGCCTGCCTGCACTGTGATAAATTTTAATATAAAGTCAATTTGTGTTTCTTGGGAAAAGTGATTACCTTTCTGTTAAAATAGTAAAGATATTTACAATAGTAAATTATAAAATGATATTAACATGTGAAATTAAATTGCAACAGGCACCTAAGGAACAATTCTGAGGGCCAAAGAGCGATGTACTGCATTTCATGTAAAAATCAAACAGCACCTGCTTTAAACATTATCTTTTTGTTTCCCTCCTGAAACAACTGCATTCATGAAAACTTGAAGGCTTTATTCCTGACTGGGTATCATTTTTAGTAAGCAGCCAAACGGAACTTCTAGTGTGACTATGATTAAAACAAAGGACATCCGAATGTATATAAATCTGCTTCCTGGCTAGGGACCGTGAAATTTTTAAATTGCCTTTTTTTTTAAGTGAGATTTTTATGATAGGGCATGTACACTCGCTGGAGAGACAGAGAAAAAGTGAGAAATCGCCCCCCCTCCCTTTGGGGGGCATGGCTACAACACAATCTATTCTCCTCTATTCGCCTCTTGGGATTTTGGGTATGCACACACATGCACCCAGCATGAATTTTAAACTGCCAAGTCTGGGACTTGAACTGTGGTTGACTACATGGGAGGCCAGCAACAGAACCATTACTCCATCTGCTGCTTCCTTTAAACTGCTTTTTTTCTTTCTTTTTCTTTTTTTCAAAGAGATTTTTGCTATAGGGCATGAGCGCTCGCCTGATAGACAAAAAATCCCTCCCCCCAACCCGGGGGATGGCCACACTGCAATCCTTTCTCTTCCAATCTCCTCCGGGATTTTGAGTATGCATACACATATCCCCAGCGTGGGCTTTAAGCCACTGGGTCTGGGACTTTAAATGCTTTTTACAAAGTTTAAAATGAATGATTTTTAAATCAGGAAAATTAATTTAAAATGTTGATTGAGGGGCCAGCAGGTGGTGTGGTGGTTAAGGACACTGGACCTCCCACATGGCCGACCACGGTTCAAGTCCTAGACCTGGCGACTTGCTTTCTCTGTCTCACTGTCCCTCTGTGGCCAAATTAAAAAAATAAAGTTAAAAAATTATTTAAAAAAAATGTTGACTGGTACCTGTCTGCAATTTTCTGGAAAACAATAGTACTAGTTACAGCATAAGAGAGTACTGTTTTCCTTTATCATGGTATTCTTTCTATACAGATCTGTTAAAAGTCAGGATTTCATACGGCCAAGACAATACGGTCAGCTGTGATATAAATACGACACAGCAATACCCGACAGTCTCAACTCCTAGGACTCTAAGCAACAACAAAGATAGGTCTTTCAAAGCCTCTGCACTTCATTGGGGGAGGGGGGGAGATAAAGCCATCCTCCAGGTCTACTGACCATGTAAGTCAGAGATTACCAGCTGAATAAGCTACATTATCTAAATTCCCCTGGCAACCTCTGATTCTGTCTTACCTAAAGGTAAAGTAAAAGGGGTGACAAGGCAGGAGGGCCTGTGGGGGGAACTAGAAAGGTACACGATCTCAGCAGCCTACACAGACGAGCTGAGGTGTCCCTGAGGCTGCCTATGCACGCCCTGGCTGCAGTGGGATGCCCGTGTGCACGCAGAGGGCACAGTTAGCTACCGCGGGCTGCCCTGACGTTTTGGAGTACCTGTCACATCAGAAACCTGTGAACTCCGCGCAGAATAACAAAGGATTCTGTTAACCAAAGTGGGCAGCACAGGACTTTCACGAGGCAACACACACTTCGGCTAGTTGCTTCCTATAAATGCCTGTAAACAATCAAATTTCGCTTTCAATGCCCCTTAATTCAAACTGGCCTCCTGAATTATCCAGAATCAATGATGCCTGCCATACATTCATCTTAAAATACAGTCTAGGAGACCCTATTCCAAAATTAACACTTCAAAAATTTATGGGATGTATCTTAATATCAGAAAGAAGCTTTTATATACATGTGTTAATTCTGATTGCCATAAAAATAATATTTAAGTTGGCACCTTTGTAGTAAATATCAGAGAATTCACAGAGAACAGTGAATAAAGAGTATACTTTACAAAACCCAAAGATGACTTCAGAGCTGCCGCCTCTGTCTGGGTTCCTCTAGCCACATGGGCTTCCAGCCGGCTCCTTCCCACACGAGCCAGCCGCAGTCCTTGCTGGACTGCTCTCGGCTCTAGTTCCGGGCGGGGCCTCTTCCACTGCAGGGGAACCTTCTGAATGCCCTGACGCCTCCTGGCCAGAGACGAGCTGAGCAGACTGGGTGCCTTCCGTGCTGCTTTCCATTGGTGTGCTTTCTTCTGAGATTCCGCCGATCTCTTGGGGCTTTGTATCCAAAGTAGGTGATTTACGCTAAGATGGGCAGAATTACATTTAATGGGTTAATTAATATGGAGCATTAGTAAACAAACGTATCTCACCAGTTCCTACCCAAATCTGCTGTAGCAAGCTCTAAACTCCCAATTCTGGTTCTAGGGCTGGATCGTAATTATACAAATATTACCAGGGCCTCACAGAACTGCATAGTACACAGGAGTAGGATATTGTAGGATATATATCTTAGGTGATCAAGTGATTCATCTTAGGAAGGGTTAAGAGGACTGGGGACCAGAACTACTGACTCTTCTTGCCCAGTGAGAATAATTCATTTGACAGCTGTCGACTAAGCATATATTAAGTTCTAGATGCTGAAGATATGGCCAGAACAAAACAAATAGTGCTCTCGCTAGAATTAGATTTAGGTTAGGAAAGCAGTCAGGCAACAAAGAAATTAAGAAGGTATGTTATATAATCTGTTGAATCAAGGGTTACATAGAAAAAGAAAAGAGATGAGTGCTGGAAGTGGAGTGAAACGATAGGGTAAGGCTGGGGTTGTCTGGGGCCAGCGGGTGGCATGGAGGTTGGGGCAACTTGCTTCTACATGGTCAAATCCACAGTTCGAGTCCCAGACTCGGCAGCTTGAAAAATCACACCAGGTGTTTGTGCATGCATTGCCCTGGAGGGTGATTTCTCACCTTTCTGCTCTCTGTTTCTCTCCAATGAGTGCATGTACCCTATAGCAATAAACTTAAAAAAAAAAAATTGAGGTGGTCTGAAAAAAGGACACATGAGTAAAAATCTGAAGAAATGAACAGTATGACATGAAGGATCTTCAAGAAGTAAATGAAAAATGCAGATTATGAAAACCTATGCATGGATTTCAAAATTTCTTACACCAAAATACTCATTCAGTTCCATTCTTCCATGAACTTTCTGAAGTTCCTGCACCTGTGGGTGAACAAGTGCAAAGGCTTTGAGTTCAAGGAACAGCCAGGAGGTCCCTGTGGCTGAAGCAGAGAGGGGGTGAGAGGAGACGTGGCAGCAGAAGGCCATGAGGCAGTGGGTGTGCGGCAGGGGCCAAGCCACTGTGTTAGCAGCTTCCCTTCGGGTGACACAGGAAGTCGCTGGAGGAGCTGAGATAAGTGACACGTAGCCATTGCCTATAAAAGCTGAAAGAACTACCTGTGGGTTTTCTAGGTGCGAGAGATGTTTATCTTTGTGAGGAACTCCATGGGAAGGGTTTCTGTAATTTTCTAGATTTTACTGTGCTTTTAACTCCCAAAGGTTTATAGTTGCAGCTTAAACTTTGCAAATGACAATATAAGTTCCTCTCTCAAACAGAAACAGAAATGTCCCTTTAAATGACCAAAAATGGTAAAAACAAACAAACAAAAAAAAAACTATTGACCATGCTGCAAGTGAAAAGTACAGTTCTAACAGCCAATGAGTTAAATGAATTTGGAAAGCAAGATTTGATCCTTTTCCAGCCCACTCCTCCATCCAGCTAAGTTTTTAGGGCTCTGAGCCCTACTCTGAGCTCGTCAAGGGTAAGAATTTCCATCACGTTCATTTGTCAGCTTCCTACGAAATTTCATATGCATTACATCTGTTCTAACAAACCACCGTTGAATGTGTTTAACATAAAAAGTAAACCTCGCTTTATATTTTTCTGAAGAAGCTGCACTAACCTAGGACCAGAAGGGGAAGAGCGCGACTAAGCGTATCACCACCGGTGCGATTAACAGCGAAGGGCAACGGTGAGAGTCAAAACCATCAAAAGCTCCTTAACAAGCACTTAGGCCTAGCAGGAGGGACAGCAAAATAAACGGTTGCTGACTTACACTGGGTACCACCTCGGGATGCTCTTGTGCCTCTGCGTCTGGTAAATCAAATGCCCGGAGCACTTCAGGGCTCTTGTTGCCAGTCTGCAATCTCAAGCCAACATTTCTCTCTCTCAAAACATCTCTTCTACCCTCATATGTTTTGTCATAAGGGCCTTGCTCAACGGGGCCGGTGTGACCCCTATAATAGAAATCTGCATCACCTGCTCCGCCAAGGGGCCTATAATCAATGTCCTTGTGCCATCTTCTGTCACCTGGCTGAAGCGCCCGAGGAGGTTCTCTCTCAGGACCACCTATATGTCTCAGCACATTAACGGACTTTCCAGCACCATAGCAGAAACTCTGTAAGGAAAAAAATACATTTTCCTGAGGACTTAATGGCTGAGTTACAATGAAGTTATGAGGTGTTTTATTCAAACAATGTAATTTAACCTACCTGTGGCATCTATAGACATGCACATGTGAATTTCACTTTTTTTCATTAGATACCTCTTCTTCAGAGGTATCTGAGGAAGGGCCAGAGTGGCCAATAAAATACAAGAAATCACTCAGTATTAAGTAAATGGTTCAAAAAGCTTGAAACAATTGGACTGAATTATAACAACGGCAGTTAGGTTAAAGCCTAGTAATGTAAGTTAGAAGGTTCTAGATTGTCTGACAAGTGCGCTTATGTTCCTATATTCATACCTATCACTGAATACCAATGCCGACAATGATGATTTAAAGTTGAACATACCTATGTAAACATTCTCCTGTAGGTTTATTTTTAATAATACAAACTTGACTTGAGCCACAGCTAAAATTCAACAGGTATGATTCACATTCCATGAGAAAAAACTAGGCACAGGTCTCAAAGTGTGGTGTGGGAACAGCCTACCGGTGAGGTGAAAACCTCCCATCACACACACACACACACAGTCATTTTCACTGTTCTCTACTGAGTTTACTGGAGTCTTCTGAAGGTCAGAGGGACGTGTGACGACTCCTGGGATGTGTGCTTGCTTACGTGTGTATTTGTTTAACTTTCCACTGTAATGCCCAGTGTAGTAAGTACCAATAAATATAACCCCATGAACAAGAGCTTTTTATGGTCTTCATTTTCAAGAATGCAAAGGAGTCTTGAAAGCGAAAAGCCCGACGTCTGTGCAGTCCTAATACAGGACGGCCTGAAGAGAGAAGTAGCAGAGCCGAGGCGTGGAACTTTTCTCAGGGAGCAAGGAGGTAACGAGACACGAGGAGGCTCTTGTTATAACTTCAGTTTCAGAGACCAAACTACTGGCCAAGAAACAAAGCCAAAAGAGAAGCAATTTCAAAAGGAGCATCATGAATGCTTTATATCCTTAGAAAGAAGAATTTCCCGGGGCACATGAGTTCTTTCTGTTTTGTTTAATGTCACAACTGCTTTAATATGGGTAGTGGCTGAAAATCAACAAAAAAGCTGCACGGATTGTCAATGAATGACAAGTACTTCTTAGTAAATGTCTGTATTTGGATCCTCCAAAATGTTTCTTAACATATCCACTTTTGGGACCAGCAGATGGTATGAAGGTTGTCGCTGGACTCCCAAGTAGTTGACCAGGGTTCAAATCCCGGACTCAGCAGCTAAAACTCGTGCTGGGCATATGTGCATGCGTGTCCAAAATCCCCAGAGGAGATCAGAGAAGAAGGAATTACAGTGTGGCCATTCCCCCTGGGGGGTAACTTCTTGCTTTCTGTCTCTCCATCTCTTTCTACAACGAGTGCACATGCCTTATAGCTAAAGTCTCTCTAAAAGAAAAAAATCACTTTCTTTCACCTCCCTTTCTGATTCTGTGTTCAGCCTTATGTCCTTCCCTTCTCAGTGCTGAAGAAACTCAAGCTGAAGTAAGAAAGTCCCTTTTCTTAAAGAGGAAGCAACCCTGTCTCTCTGTCTTTCTGGCGAGCGCACGTACCCTATAGCAAAAACCTCTCAAAAAATAAAAAAGAGGAAGCAACCAACTGACTCCCTATGGATTAAGTCAGTGAGTTTAAAAAGAGGTTGTTTTTCTAAATCACTGTTATGACATCTGCAATCACGTCCTTGATTAGAGGCTATACATACATACATCTATCAATGTAAGTCTGTATCACATCAGATCGCTTTCCCATACAATCAGGTCTGACTGACAATAAAAAAGTCTAATAATTTAAAACTGCCTCCCCCCCCCCGGAAATCAAAAACACCGCCCCCCCCCCCCCCCCCGTAAATCCTGTTAAATACCAACAGTGCTAACATACTAACCAGGACAGCTAATGCCATTATGATCAGCACTGGAATCTGAAGTAGTACTGGAATCTCCTTCATGAGCGCTTTAATAAATTCACCAGTTCCTTTTCCAATGTGCTTCAACGGCTCTGTTACAAAGTTGGTGAATGTAACTGCCAGTGCCTAAAACAAAAGACAAAAGCAACTTAAATCTTTCCTCAAAAGACTGAGGCACACAGCATGAGCCAAAACTCACTGTGTACAAGTCTAAAATTATGCTAGATAAATTTAAAATGCTGCCACCTGCTACTTGTAATGTACAAATCACTGTGCAATGGAAACATTTTTTCTGGTACAAAGATTTATTGTTAGCAAAATGATTCTATAAAACACTAACAATTTTTTATACATAGAAAGACTTCTAATTTGTACTTCATATAAGTAATTTTTACAAAATATATTCTATACCTTAGTTGGTGGGACCAGCCAAATAGGGTTGACCAATAAAAGCTCATAGTATTTTTGGCATGAGTCATCCTTAAGGGTCCATGAACTTCTCCACCATTCTATTTAGAGAAACAGACAAAACACTGAGTCATGTTTTTAAAAAGCTGCAGTTCGTACCCAAATAAGACAATATTTTGGTTTTCACTCTCTTTGACCACCCACCAATTTCAAAATCCTTTAAATACTTTTTAAAATGTATTTATTTCTTGAGAGAGAGAGGCACCCCCAACAGGGTCTCCACACCACGATCCACCCGTCTCGGCTGGTATAGTAAGAGGCACATGGGTACATGCCAGGTGTTCTCAAGGAGGCCCCAGGACACAAACCCAGGCCCTTTCTTATATGGCTCCAGTTATGTCACCATTGCCCACCGCCTGGACTAAAATGCTTTCATTTTTAAACAGACTCCTGGTAATGCTGATTTAAAATGTTTTCATCTTGGGACCAGCAGATGATGTAATGGTTATATTGCTAGACTCCTACATGGCCAGCCATGGTCTGAGTCCTGGACCCGGAGGCTTGAACCTCACACCAGATACATGTGCGTATGTGCCCAAAATCTCAAGAGGAGACTGGAGGAGCAGGGACAGCGGCATGGCCATCCCCTCTGAGGGGGTGGGGGGAGGTGATTTCTCACTTTCTGTCTCTCTGGTGAGCGCATGTGCCTTAGAACAAAAATCTCTCTCAAAAAAAATTTTTTTTTCCTTATAGCCCAAATCATGTTTGTTTTTAAAAATCCATTCAAATTATACAAGTCTTAGAGAGAGAAATTTTATTAAAATTTCTAAAAGATAAGTAATTAAAAGCAGTGTTTTATATACACAAATGAGTACAGGTAAAACTGGGGAAATCTAAGTAAAACTGGTGGACGGTCTCACAGTCAGTATCCTGGCTCCGCTCCGGTGCTACGACTGCTACGTAAGAAATCAGCTTTGGGGGAAAGGGTGTAAAGGGTACACAGGCTCTCTATTATTTCTCAAAACTACATGTGACCCTGCAATGATCTCAATAAAATTTCAATTTAGAAAGTCGGTTTGGGGCCAGTCTATAGTATGGTAGCCCAGGGGTCTAAATCCGATGTGGCAGACTGTGTGGTTGAAGTCCAGACTTGGTAGCCTGAAAAATATGCTGGGCATGCATGCACACAAGCCCAAAATCCTGGGAGGAGAATGAAGGAGACAGGATTGTGGTGTGGCCGTCCCCCTGGTAGGTGCTTTCTCCCTCTCCATCTGTCTCTTGGTGAGTGCACACACCCTCTGACAAAATTTTTTTTAAAAAGATAAATTAATGGGGCTGGCAGGTAACATGATGGTTAAGGATGCTGGACTCTCACGTGTCCGACCGCAGTTCGAGTCCTGGAGTTGGTGCCTTGCTTTCTCTCTCTCTCTCTCTCTCTCACTCACTCACTCACTCACTCTGTCCCTCTCTGGTCAAATGAAAATAAATTAAATAAATAAAAATAATTATTTTTTTAAAAAAGATACATTAATTTTGGAACCCACTTACAGAACCTGAGATTCTATTCTGGGCCAGTCATTATGGATTTGCATTTATAAAGTAGCTTCGAGCATCAAATCATTCCCATTGCTGGATATAAACAACTAAAGGGGTAGACAACAGTAATGGGAATGCTTACAAAATCTGTTAGAATAAGAAATAAAAACAGTTTTTCCCTCAGTTAAAAGTGCACTAAAGCTACAACATAAGATGTCATATGTCAGTAAGAGGGTGTTAAACATAAGATGGGGGACCAGCAGTTAGCATAATGGCTATGTCGCTTGACTCCCATGAAGTCGACCGTGGCTTAAACTCACGCTGGGCATGTGTGTTTGCATGTCCAAGATCCCGAGAGTAGAGTGGAAGAGAAGGGACTGCAGTGTGACCATCCCCCCGGGGGTGATTCTCGCTTTCTGTCTTTCTGATGAGCACACGCTCCCTGTAGCAAAAACCTCTCCAAACAAAGGAAAAAAAAAAAAAAAAACTAAGATGGATATTGGCTCATATACATATTCAGTCACTTCTTTAATGAATTTCTGTTGAGGACCTCGAAAGTGCTGGACACTGTGCTGAGGAGTGTGTGAACAGAAGTGGCTCTGGAGTCTTCGGTCTGATGGAGGAAGACAGGTAATGTCAGAGCCAGCACACACGTGATTTCTATTCCTTCCCTGTGACTTTACATGAACATGAAAGGACCCTGGTTTTAAACTTAATCCTCTTCTTGCAAGTTCTGATGTTAAAGATTCAGACATGGAAAGCCTCCTCTGGCATTTTGCCCTTTTCTTTGTAATTTCTACGTAAAATAAGGCCAAGTGAACAAACACCTTACCCCAGAGACTTCCAACCCAATCCATCTTCTCGGCACACAGGTTGTTTAATGGCTCCATCTTGGCAACTTCGGCTTGATGCTGTGCAAAAGCTAGCTGACCGACACCAAAGGGAAACCGTGAAAGGCTGTTCATGATAAAGACTACACCACACATGCAAAAATTCCAAGTTCAAAGAATATCTTTACCATTAATCCAAACCAGATTGTTTAAGTAATTTTAATAGGAAAAAACATATATGTTATTTTTAAAGAGCAGCAATTGTCAGCTCATAAAAAAGCATAGTCTTAATGCGACAAGTCAGGAAAAATAACTAATTATAGGGCTGGCCCCACAGCCTAAGAATTTAGGGAGCTGGATACCAATGGCCCACTGTGGTTTGAGACCCAGCCCCAGCAGCTTGAAAAACATGCTAGGCACCTGTGCATGCATGTCCAAAGTCCCAACAGGATGGAGAAGGGACTGTGGTATGACCACACCCCATTGGAGGTGGTGCTTTCTCCCTCCTTTTCTCTGTGTCTTGGGCAAACATATGTGACCTTTGGCAATTAAAAAAAAAAAAGAACTAATTATTATTGCCTTTTCTATAACTAATTATGATGAGCAGGAAGACTTTGGTACTAAAAGATCGTTTTAAAGAGTTAGTTCAAATACAGTTTATACCATGTGTGAAAATGAAGCTATAAAAATTTAATGACTACGTCTCAGTTTCTTTTATAGTTCATGATAAAATGGTGTTTTGATCAGACTGGTTTTTAGCAAAAAAAACCAACATAAAGATAATATATCTTTTATAAACCAAAGCCCCAGGGAAAATAAATCACTGATGAAACAATACCCAACCAACCAATCCTTTCACATAGAGCCTAGGTGTTCAATGTGTAAATAATCAGTTCTAGATACTATAGCACTTAAGAGTAAAAGGTTAAGAAAATATTATTACAGTGATTTAATCAGATAAATTCATGAAAAATACCTGGCTATTGGAGACCAGGAGGTGTCATGGTGGTTAAGGTGCTAGGCACTCCCACATGGCAGACCACAATTCGAGTCCTGGACCTGGTGGCTTGCCTTCTTACTTTCCCTCGCTCTCTCTGTCGCTATGGTCAAATTAAAAAACAAACGAATAAATAAAATTAAATAAGTCTTAGGGATAAAAAACCTGGCTACTTGGCATACCCTGCCAAAAAGATCTAAGAGTTTCCTTCAAATGAATATGCTATTTTAACAGAAAGAGCTGTCTTTTTAAAATGTCTATATATGGCATAATCCTAATTTTGAAAGATAATTATATCTAGAAAAGAGATCAGAAAGAAATACCTCAAAATATTGACAGTGATTATCTCTAGGTGGTAAAATTTTAGGTGAGTTTTAAAAATAATTTCCCTGTAATCTTCCATCTTCTCTAAATTCCCAACCATGAACTTTTTAACTTTCCTTCCCATCTTTCCTTTCCTGTCCTGTCCTCCTTCTCCCATCTCCTTTCCTTTCCTTCTTTCCCTCCCTCCCGCCTATTCTGTGCCTCACTGATAATTAGCCAGAAGGCATGTGAGTATTTGCACAGAGAGGGAAGGCCAGAACGCCACCCCCCACGGAGTATGGTCACACTGCAATTCCTTCTCCTACATTTCCCCTCTTGTCTGGATGTTGGGCACATGTGCACACATGCCTGGCATGTTTTTCAAGCTGCTGAGTCTGGGACTTGAACCATGTAGTCAGCCATGTGGGACCCAGCTGCCTTAACTACCAGGCCATGGGCTGGCTGAATATACCACTTTCATATGCAGAAAAAAACCTAACCTTTAAAAAATGGTATTTTGCCATCATGTCACTTTGTTTCCTTTTTATTTTGGCATAAGTTCTAACAAAGAATAAAAGGACATACCTCAACTTATCAATGAAAGAATTTTTAAAAATCTTTCTACCTAGCTCTAGTCTGACTCAACTGGCCAGATGCCATCCAGCAGTAACCAGGTTATGAAAATTAGGACTGTCCTCTTTCCCACTCACTGGCCAAGGATCCCAAAACCACATGCAGGAGAGCTGGGAACTGCCAATTCCTCCCCCGTGAGGACTGCCCTCCAACCCACATCTGAGCCAGGACAGCTCAAAATGGACATGCTCTTTTATAATGAGTTACATTTTCAGATTTTACTACCCACCATTTATTTAATACCTTATATAAGTACATCCAATTCCATCCCAAACTGACAAGAAAACTGATGAAAAAAAGACGTCTCAACTGGGTGTACCAACGAACATACGTCCACAGCTCGGTAGCTACCAGCATCACGATGCCCAGCAGACACAGAAGGACCTCAAAGACAGAAAGCAGCAGG